TTTCTTCCTAGTTGTTACAGTTTTTCCTTCTATCAATGCAGTGGTTTGATTAAAAGTTCAAAATTCAATGTTCAAATTTTAACCCAGCCTTTTGTGTTGACTTCATGGCTCATTTTGTAGCATTTAAGCCTATAATAGGATGCCTAGACCTGTTTTTATTTTTATTTTTTTTCGCCCTGTCGCTTCATATTTTTTCTGAAAAAATCCGAGAACCAACAAATTAAATTGGTGTGGCCTAATATCCTTATAATTGGTAGTCCAGGGAATAGCAATGGTTCTCTCCAGTTAGAGGTGTAAGGCCACAAGTTCGCAGGGAGGACGCCCAATCAGCCCCTGACAGCGAGAGATTGTGTAACACAGCCCGGTCCAGACGTAGCAAGATCCATTACAGAGCCTGGGGCAGATCAATGGAAAATCCTGACCATTCACAGCTCCCCTCATACCCTGGCCTGGACCTATCCATCAAACACAATCCTCCTGATTCATGGCTAACTGAAAATATTGGATTTCTGGCCGTAGATGGGCCTGGGAGACAGCTCCTGGTTGGACTGTTTATCTACCATCAGCTGGGGGCCTTCCCCTCCAACCATTTGTCACTCAAATGGTAGAAGAACAAGAAATAGTCATGCCTTCAAGTACCAGAGTTATCAACCAAGGATTGAGGTGTTGAAAAACTCATTCTTTCCTAGAACTATCGTAGAGTGGAATTTGCTGTCACCAAGTACAGTAGGGGCATTGTCATTAGATAGCTTTAAACAATGTCTAGAGTTAGATGTTCAAGGGTTAGGTGTAATGTAGACAGCTGCCCCCAATCTGCATGCCTGCAATGCTGGTGTGTTATGCTGAAGGGTGGTTATACCGGCTGTACCAATACAGATACTCACACTCTCTAGCTTCTGTCCAGCATGACTCCTAAGTCTTAGCTTCAAAGATCATCATGTGCTGACACAGTTTGGAACTTCACTTTTCCCATTTTTACAAGTGCTAATATTTTCAAATAATCGATAAGTGATAATTTACTGATTTATAGAAATGCTCTGGCTTTTCATACTACAACTTGTTATAAAACTGTTTTCCCTAATTATCATGATTAACTGGCAAAAATAAACTACACACATACCTTCCTGGGCCTGCTCTTCTCCTAGATATTCCATGTCGAAGTTGACTCCCTTCAGTGGGTTGGTATCAGCCAGTAACCCTCTCTCTGAAGATCCTTTGCGAAGGGCTCTGTTTCAAAAGAAATCAGACATGTTCATACAGTTGTTGTCACCTCCAATCATAACCAAGCTATTAGACTAGTAATATTTACTCATAACACAAACTCGTAACTACTGCTAATACTAATAGCTAATATAATTGTGAACCGTCAGACTTATGTGTTCATTTGAGCTCTTACACTAGTACTTACTCATAACACAAACTTATGACTTCTATATAGCTAATATAATTGTTAACTGTTATACTAAGTCTTATTTGTTCATTTGGAAAAAGTGCCTTAAGTTAATACAGTATTAAATGTCAACTACATGTCTGACATACATGTTGATATGGCCCAAATACCTGTTCATAGTTTTGCTCATCATTTGTAGCCATGTGTGCATCATGGTAATTCTAGCAAAACAAAGTGCATCCAAAAATAGTTTCATCAAGTTGGTAAAGTACAGGATACAGGAGTTGTCTTTTAAACAACCAAATTTCCTCATCTAAAGTGCTGACATTTCAATGTCTATCAGACACCTTCCTTATATCTTCTGACTGGAGCAGCAGTTTAGGTGAGAAAATTTGGTTGTGTAAAAGAAAACTCCTGTATCCAAGAAGAAGTCAAAGAGTCTTTACTACATGTACCTTCTGAGCTGTTTCCTGCTGATTTCGTCTCCGTAGAAGAGGCCGAGTGTTCCGATGGTGTCCGCTCTCTCAGCACAGATAGCCTCTTCCTTCTCTGAGATGTGGAACACCACTGATATCACCTGAGATAGAAGTACATTGTATAAAATTTCACCATTCGTACACTTTGAATCGTTTGAAAAGACAAAACATCTGAAACCTGTTCTCAAACTGTGATTCAGCATGATTGTTTCAGTGGCATAAGGAATATGTAGCTTTGAGAAAACTTAAGCATCCATATTTAGCACTTAACCATAATTAAAGGAATATGGAATAACTCCGAATAAGGAATATGTAGCTTTGAGAAAACGTAAGCATCCATATTTAGCACTAAACCATAATTCAAGAAAACATCACTCTGTGGAAAGTTTTGCCTATTAAAGAGTTAGCTTGGATATACTCTCAATTACTTCTTTCTGTCTACAAGAAAAAAATCACTAAAACATTTTCTAAGTTACTTAGGTACAATGTACAGACTGAAGTCAACGATGTAAAGAAAAACAATTTACCTTTGTTGTTCTCTCCCTTAGAACAAACTCGCTTGGCTCAACCCTGACTCTGTTAGCTGGAAGCTGGGTTCTAGCTGACAGATCTGGAGGGATAACAGAGTGATAAACATGAATAAAAGTACAGCAACTTACATGTACATAAGGTTTTCTATGAAGAAATGTATGCATAAATGGGCCATAATAACTTGATGTGGGTGTTCAAAATGATATTAACAGACTGATCAAGTAGTGTGGATGCCTTCGTATTTAATTTACCTGGGCTTCCATACTCTCTCCCTTACAATACTTGTGAGGAAGCAAATATTGAAGCTAAGTAAACTAAATACTACAGGAATAAGGGTGGCACCCAGGCTGCCCACCGAGTTCTGTAGATTCTACCTACCTCCAAAGCACATGGCTTTTACAAAGGCAGCCCTCGAGCCAGTGTTCCGTACAGGGATGTCAATTGTGCTCTTCTTCCCCACCGACACCTACACAACATGAAGAAAGTTTAAACATTGTTTTTATCTTTCCAGATGACTAACTTTCTTTTTAACGTACTGATATATAAAATATCCTCCTTGTTTAGAGGCCTTGACATAGTTAACTGTTTTTTTTTAGTAAATAATGACATACAATATAATAAACAATGTAGTTGTTGCTCACCTCTCCTAAGTTTGCTATGTACATGTCAGACACTGCCCTCAGACCCTCCACTGTTAGGTTACAGGTGCCACCATAGCCAGACAGTGGGATCTACAACAACAAATGATCATGGTTAGAGACATACAAGTTCAATTTCAGACATATTAAGTTACATAATAGGACAAAAAGAGTGATTTGCAGCAAAAAAATGATGCTAAACCATAGGTCAGAATACAAAGCTAAAGCTGTTATTGTGAATTTGCTTAAGTACATAGCGACTTTTACGACAAGCCGGCACATGAAGGCTCTTTGCTGCATTTATAAATCTGCACTGTCCTGAGTTCTGTGGAGCTTCGGTAACCTGAGTGCTGCCCTCCATAGTTACCGCCAGCTCACTATTATCGCCAGCTACCATGGACTACAGGAGATGGCACCCAGGCCAGAGCCTTTGAGGATGCGAACAGGCGAAAATCAATGCACGCGTTGATGTCACCCATAAAATTAAATCAGTGTGGCCTTACTGTGATCTTGGTGTTGCCCTTGGGAGGTTTGATGACCAGTTTGGCCTGTTTTAACTTTAATTATGTAACTACCAACACAGATGAACTTTCATGATACATGTACTATACACATATTAGATCACACAAGGTATGTTTCTGGCCACTTACTGTGAACTTGGTGTTTCCCTTGGGAGGTTTGATGACCAGTTTGGCCTGCATGGTGGCGACTCTGGTGGGAGCGAAGATGAGATGGACCGGGAAGTCCTCCAGCGGCTTCAGAATGATCTGTCTGGAGCTGGACAACTGCTCATGCTCCATGAACGAACTCTGCAGCTGTGGGGAAGAATTAGTCAAAGATGTCAGGAAGGAATGTCATAAGGACAGGTATGTTTATTTTGGTTACCTTGTCATGCCAGCTTGCTTTGCTTACTTGCTGCTTGCTTACTTCAGGCTTGCAACCTCAAGCATCAAGATGTCTAGTATATTACAAACTTATCTTTACTTTTCGTATCAATGTGCCAATGTTCTATCCAGCGTCCCCCTAGGATTCTTACAATGCCTCATGCCTTCGGTGCTCTAAATGATGTTATATTAAACAAACTTGAGATGACAGAAAAAATTTCAGGTTGGCTAGCAGACTGCAATGTGCTCACCTGGAAACAACCGTTGCCGTCATCCCTGATGGTCAGCTCCAGTTTCAGAGTCTGTGTCTGTGAGCTGTTCCTCAACACCAGCTTCTGCTGCCTGGTAACAAACAAAAAGAAACCATAGTAAGATGCTGAACTTAATTCTAACACAAGGGTACGTACAGATCAAATTTATACAGAGCAACTACTGTCGCAATTGTCAGAAGTAATGATGACAAAATAATTGATGTCATGTACATGTATCTGTAAAGTCTCATTTGAATGAGGCAAAGTGTCCGTAACTCTCATAGATTTAAGTTTGGAAGTGATTGGTCATGACTTATCCTAACGAAGGTGACAGTGGTCGTTTTGTTTGTGTCACCCTTTGTGTTGGAATAAAGCTCAGCATTGTACTCTGCTTCAATTTCATAATACTTACAGTGCTCTCCCCATGGGCACGCCTCCCCAGGACAGGAACTGTTTGTTAGACAGGACCGGCGGAGCCTCTGCTGCAGAGTGAGGCTTCTTCTCCAGCTTCACACACTCCCCCCTGAGTAAAACCTCGTACTGCGGCCCTGCCGGCCTCACACACATCGTCAGCAGGCTGCTGACCGCGTGGGGCGCCACCTTGGGCGCAAACCTGACCGTGACCTCTGACTGTTGACCCGGGTGAAGGGTCAGGGTGGCGGGGAGGAGGGTGAAGACGTCCTGCTCCTTCGTGACGGACAGGTCGACCGTGACGGGGATGTTCCCGGCGTTCTTCAGCGGAACACTGCGACTGATGGAGGTGCCAATACTGGTCGTCAGGACAAGGGCCTGCAGACAGGAGCAAGAAGATATCATACATGTACCTCCACAAAGTATTAAGAGATTTTAAGAGACCATCATCTCTATACTATGTTCTACCAACCATCACGTCAGTAGAGCATCAGATAGAGGGATTTTCTTTTACACAACCAGTGCTTCTCACACCTTGCTTGGTTGTCAGAACAAGGGCCTACAGACAGGAACAAGAACTTGACATAGAAGACCTCAAATCAGCCATGCCAATGGCAGACACAACAGTGTGGAAAAGAGTAGCTAGGGTGCAAAGTTTTACTCTGTCCATCCAGGTAGACAGATAATGATGATGAAATATCTAGACTTTTTTTCGAAAGTAACTTTATCAGGTTGGTAGAACATACTTACTTACTTGGGTGGTAGAACATACTTCAAGATATTGGGATTTTCTTTTACACCATGTTTAGCCACGTTTCAAGGGGATTGTGTTCTTGACGCAAAAGCGTCACCTACATTGGCCAATCAACCCACCTGTAGAGTCCTGGGCGTGTGTATTCTGGCCACCCCCACTCGAGCCTTCATGGGTACGCTGGCTATGACACTGGTGTTCCCTGGGGTGTCCATCTCTATGTCTACCCTGCCTGTGTAGTCGTCTGGTGGTCCCAATGCACCTGAAGCAGACAGATTGTGTTACTAACACAAGAACTAGTGAGTCTTTAATACCAGCTCAGAAAAAACAAGAAATACAATGCAGTCATGCCTTCAAATACCAGAGTTATAAACCAAGGATTGAGGTGTTAACGGTTGTATTTTCCAAGAACTATCGTAGAGTGGAACTTGCTGCCACCAAGTAAAGTGGGCATCATCATTAGAAAGTTTGCAGTTAGATGTACAAAGATTGGTTATAACAAGTCGTTTGGTGTAACAAGGCTAGCTGCCACCACACTGTGTGCCTGTGAAGCTTATGCTGAAGGGCAGTTATACCTGCTGTAATACTAATACAGATACAGAAGCTTGCGTGCTATGCTGAAGGGAGGTTACACAGATACAGATACCATACCTGAGGTGTTGAGTTGTTTTTCTGGGGCCCGGAACTGCACCATCACGATAGCTGGATCAGATAACTGGGGGTAGAGACAACAAAATGAGGGGCACATTGTCAATATCCACCTAAATGAAAGGAATTATAGCTGAGCCTGGTCTTGTCTTGCCCTGTACTGGCAGTGATAAACAGTTATATTTTTCAGGACACATGCATGACTTACCCAGCAATGCATTCAGTTTGTGATTGTATGACAATGTGTGTGACAGGGTCCTAGAAAGGAAAAAGTCCCACCTGTTGTTCAGACTTGCCCTGTAAGGTGCAGTGATAAACAGTTGTACTGTCAGGTAGGGGCCTGTGTCCTGTAGATGTTCCACTCTCCCTACATGTACTACTAACCTGTTGTTCAGACTTGCCCTGTAAGGTGCAGTGGTACACAGTTGTGCTTTCAGGAAGAGACCTTCCACTCTCTCTCCTGCTGTCTTTAAAGGAGAAGCAGTGCCACATAGCAGATGTCTGAGGAAAGACATATTAAAAAGTTATGTTAAAAACATGTTAAAGTTAAACTTCTCCCCACAACCATTGCCATAGTCACATTTGCATGGCAGCACCCATCACCGTTTCTGTAGCCCTTGGGCTACACAGTTGTGCTATCACTACAGCAGGGGCCAGATCCACTGGTAGTGGTGTGTGCTTAACTCCCATACTCTTTCTCAAATGTACCATAGTAAAATACTTGTCCTAAAGAATTGTTTTGCTCTCAAATTCAAAACACCCTTGCCCTCCTAATGCGAAACTTGTTCCCCACAAGAATGGATGAATTTACGGTACTTACTGAGGACAGGATGAGACGAACAGGCACGTTAGCTCTCGTGTGATTGGTCAGTTTGATCGGCAGACAAACCGTGCTGCCGCTTGGCAGGTCACCGAAGTTTAGAGTATCTGACTCTCCTGCCGTCACCTGAAGTAAAAAAACAAACAAACCTATTTTCTAGCTAAAAATGTATATATATATATATATAGTGCGTTATAGGGATTTATTGATATACTATCCAAATGATGCTGTTGTTGGAATAATCAGACAACTCTACAGTAGTAATGGATAGCTGACAAAAATTACCTGTCCAGTACTTTTAAGATAATATGATACTTCTACATATACAATGGTTTCAAAATCTGTAAATTTGTGAAATCATCCCTCTACTTGCCTTGTCAAAATGTTGTCACCAGTATAGTAGTAAACACAAGAACAAGCTGCTAAGGGGCAAACCTACACAACTCTACTTACTAAGTTTGATTTAAAAATTGCAAGAACACAGACATTGTACGCAGGCAAAGTATAGAATCTCACCTGTATGAATGGTTTCTCAGCAATGGCCTGTATGTTGACCATAGAAGGCATGTGGTCGATGACTGCTGCGTCCTCCGAGTTAGCCAAGACCAGACAGGAACTGACCTGTACCTGGGCCACATACACACCCGGGTGGTGGGGTGTGAACAGCACCTGGTAACAACAAAAAAAAAAAAACACAGGAAATAGATCAAGACACAAATCAAGAGAAACCTGTAAAACAATTATTTCTAACTTTGTGTAATGGGATTTTGCTTCTATAGCTGTATCAGTATAGCCGGTTTAACTGCCCTTCGCTTGTAATATTGTATGCTTGTGTGTCCATAGGTATTTATCTTAAATACAGTAGAATCATAGGAAGTGATGGGGAAAGGGTCTTACCTTTATCTCTTCTGTTGTGTGTGGGCCGATAATGGTCTTCTGCTTCAGGTGGAAGATGTTCTCAGCTCCTGGCATCATCTAATTGTACATAAAGTGAAAAAGATTGATGTTAGTAGCTTCTACTCTGGTCAGGAGAATTGGAAACATCTTTAATCCTCTTGAATTATGCGTATACATATATGCTACCATGGACCAATTCTTGTCACCCTGAGAACTGTCAGACTTTTACCATAGTGATAAAGAATCCTGAGCTCCTACTGGTTGTTCTGGGAATAGGAATGTTTCTCTCACATTGTGTTTGACCACAAACTTGGAGAGCAGGCCCAATCAGCCCCTAATAGCAAGAGATTGTGTAACACCGCTAAGCCACTGCCAGCCTTACCTGTTGCTCCCCATTTGCGTTGATAGAGAGGACGTGCAGCGCACACTGTAGCCAGCGGCTGGTGGGGTTATGGAGGGGCAGGAGGGCCTGGATACTGATCCCTACACAGCACACACCAGGGAACCTGACTTCAGCTGGGGCAATCACACGGTAACTCACGTCTTCTGTCGGGGTTGTCGACGCTCTGGATCCTGCTGGAAAAATATAAAGATGTGACCATGTTTGAGCTTTTGGACATGAACTTTGTATGCAGCTATCAATTTTGGCACATCCAACAACAATCCAAACCTCTACTAATATAGTGCCCCTCAAAAGTGAAACCTATAGTACCGTGGCCAACAAGTACAAAATTTTACACCGCAACTTTTGGTGTTTTACACCGCAACTTTTGGTGTTTTACACTGCAACTTTGGGTGTTTTACACTGCAACTTTTTCTGTGTTTTACACTGCAACTTTTGCTGTGTTTTACACTGCAACTTTTGCTGTGTTTTACACTGCAACTTTTGGTGTTTTACACTGCAACTTTTGGTGTTTTACACTGCAACTTTTGCTGTGTTTTATACTGCAACTTTTGCTGTGTGGAAAACTTACACCCCTCCCCTTTTATAATGGACGGTCCACCTGTCAGGTCAAACGTTACCAACATTCACTAGATATCAAACTAAGTAAAAGTCTGGTATCAAGTTGGAACATGTATTCGAAAAGTAAGATTCACCATTTATCACAAAGTTTGTGTATCTTAGCATCCGTTTAAGTCTGACTCAGAAGCTGACGTCTAGGGACATTAAAATGAAGAAAAACGATGTCCATACCCAATAATAATGAACTAACCTGCAGAAAATTTATGTCATTGCTGTTGATGTCTGGAGCTGGATATCTGACGTCCTTGATAAATTTGTTGTGACGCATGGCAGCAAAAAGCAACATAATTTGTAATCACTGGACCTGGTCGAAACATTTTAAAATTTATCCCGATCTATAGGCCAAAGCTAGAAAAACCTTTAGAAAAAAACTAACGTCACAACGTAGCCAAGCTTTTCCTCTAAAAAAACTTATGCACGAAAAGGATAACTCAGTCGACGTAGTTTGCATGCCATCGTTGTCACCTTTGACCTGACAGGGGGACCGTCCATTATAAGAGGGGAGGGGTATAAGTTTTCCACACAGCAAAAGTTGCAGTGTAAAACACAGCAAAAGTTGCAGTGTAAAACACAGCAAAAGTTGCAGTGTAAAACACCAAAAGTTGCAGTGTAAAACACAGCAAAAGTTGCAGTGTAAAACACCCAAAGTTGCAGTGTAAAACACCAAAAGTTGCAGTGTAAAACACCAAAAGTTGCGGTGTAAAACACCAAAAGTTGCGGTGTAAAATTTTGTTCTTGTCGGCCACGGTACTATAGTAGTAAGAGCATTACATATCGAATTCCAAATGGACAGCTTTTTTGCTAACTTGTACATGTACAATTAGATAAAGTACCCTGTAGTGATCAATGTCAACAGCGGGTGCTGCCTAACCCATAACCAATCCTCTGTTACTTATGTTACAAATTTACTTCATTTGTTACACTGATCAATGATTTCAAAGTTTTTGTATTCTGGGCCCCGTTGAAAATCAATTTCTCAGAATTGAATGGGCCACCTAGCCTTCCGAAGTACAAACCTGATGTCCTGCTCTGAGCTCCTGGACGTGTCACCATGCCCTGTTGTAGATCCTCGTTGCCCAGACTGCTGGGAGGGGGACCAGGGATCCCCATTCCCACAGGTGGTACCACCCCGTACGGTACACGCACACTCGGGTGGGCCTGGTACTGGGAGGTGGGAGGGTAAGCAGGGGCTGCCATACCTGGTATAATGAATGAAAGAATGGTTTATTGAGGAGATGCCTTGAATAGATGAATATACGAATGGCTTCTTGAGAGGCAAACTCCCAAAATCCAACAATAGCAGCCAGCTGGCTGAACTGGTTTTCACATCAAGTGGGAAAAAAATTAAAGGGACAAAAAAAGAAGTATTTGATAATAGACAAGGTACGATTCAAAGGTAAGACTCACAAAATATGTCATATAGGTTCATACAATGTACATTGTACTGCAACTGATATTTTACCTTCAGTGTAAGGCTGGTACTGCTGTATATTCGGTGGGTAGGCTACGGATGGATGGAGAGAACCGGTGGGTGGGTACATCCCATGATAGGGTGGCACCGGCTGAGGCGGGTAGGTGTATGGTTGCTGGAGGCCAGAGGCTGGTACGGTGGTGGTGTGACCACCCATCCCTGGTACAGTGGTGTGACCGCCCATCCCTGGTACCATCGTGGCGTGACCGCCCATCCCTGGTACGGTCGTGGTGTGACCGCCCATCCCTGGTACAGTCGTGGTGTGACCGCCCATCCCTGGTACAGTGGTGGTGTGACCGGTGGTGGTGTGACCGCCCATCCCTGGTACGCTCGTGGTGTGACCACCCATCCCACTGCCCGGCCTAGACTGAAGGTACTGCACAGCAACCGGGTTGGTGAAGAGGGAGCGACTGGTCAGGAGTGTAGGAGTGGTGCTGGTAGCGGCAGTTGCAGCAGGACCGGATGGTGGATACGCCTGAAAGGGGGTGATCATCGGCCGGCCTGGGGAGGGGGCACCGCTCACGGAAGGGCCCTCTGTCGACATTCTCGTGTGAAGGGTCTCCATGGGAGTGTCTTGTACGCTTAAAACGGATGCCTCGGCCCTTCCGGGTGTAGGGGACACGTGGCTGAGGGTGGAGGATAAGGAAGACACTGTATCGTCCGGGGAGAAGTTGAATGTCGTGGAGTCGCCAAAGGTCTGACTGAGCTCGATCCGTGAACGAGTTTTACCCGGTGAGGATGGGGATTGGGGCGTGGAGCTTGCCGATGGCTGGATCGTTGAATGGACAGATGCGATGGAGTCCCTAGTGGGCGAAACGGGGGGTCTTGTTGGAGAAAGGGGAGCCCCCAGACTGGTGGATCTTGTCGGGGAGGTTTTGTCTCCTCGTGTTCTCAGGTTTGCCATCTTCAGATGCAGTTCCAAGTCCTCGGCTTTGGGGGACAGGATGTTATCATCGTTGGCAGTTGTTACACCAGGCGGGACGTTCAGAGAGACTTCGAACTCCTTCGTCCTTCTTTGAGACTCTTTCTTGTCAGCCTGAGTTTTCTTTGTTATACTAGGTTGGACTTTGCTGGTGTCTTTCTTCCTGTGTCTTTCCATGTCTGCTTCAGCTTTTGGCGACGATTTTTGAGCTTCCCGTTGACTGCCGTTCGTTTTTCTTGACACGACTGGTTCTGGCTCAATTTCTATTCCAGGCAGAATGCATTTATGGAGCTTAACCTCCTTCTTTGGTTTACGGATTGGAGCAGCCGTTTCAAAATCAACTCCATTTGTTTTTGCCCTACTACTACTGCTTCTACTCTGCCTGTCTTTGACTTCTGATGGCATGTCATGCTTCTTTGGCACTTCAGTGGATGATTTTCTAGGCTCGTGTTGAAGATTTGAGCCATGGTCTGGTCTGGCATCCGGATATGTGTTACGGAAGTCACTCTTTGGACTGTGTGATCTCTTGCCTTTGCCATGGTGGCCATGTCTCTTCCCGTGGCCATACTCCTTTGACGTATCAAAGCCGGGTGAGGTGCTCCTTCTCGGAGATTTAATGGGAGATCTGTCCCTGATAGGTGAACGCTCTCTGAACAGGGTTCGAGGCCCTGACGTTTTGTCCTTGCTTCTCGATGGCCACCCCTCTACAGTTACATCCTCTTTCCCAACGTCAAAGTTGTACTTGATGTCAACATCGTAGTTAGAATTGATGCTGAAACTCAGGTTGTTTAGCATGTTTTCCTGTCCACTTTTGGACGGTTTGTCCTTTGGTGGATACTGTGTGCCAGTTTTTCTACTAGGACTGTGCTCGCGTGTACGGAAGATGGGTTCCATGGTTTCCCACTCGTCTTTAACTGTCCCACTATCCACACTTTTGTCTTGCGTTTTTGGTCTGCCGTTGTGGTCCACCTTCAACCTGCTGTCCCTTGTCTGGAAAAATTCCTTTGTCGAACCATCCTTTCCCGGTATAACTGCTGTCCTAGAATGTTTGCCTTCTCCTGGAATGCCTCGGACAGGATCTGAGAACGCAGGCGCATCCGTAGTGGAAGATTTCTGCACACTCGTGTCCTTGCTTGGTTGACCAAACCCCTCAAATTCCTGATCTCCCTCCAGCTTGTAAGAGCGGCTGCCTTTCTTACCAGCAGTTCCAAATGAATCATCAACAGGCCGGTCCAGCTTTTGTACTCTACTTCCAGTACCGTCGTCAGCATTTTCTGATCGGTCCAGGAAAGACACCTTTGTAGGAGACTTGATTTTGGAAGCATCCCTCTGCTTCACGGGAATCCTGCTCTTGAGTTTGGTTGGAGAGCCAAGCTTTGACGTGTCAGATAACGCCATACTGCTGTCATTTCTCTTGTCATTCGACAGTCCCACGAGACCAGACTGCTTCTTGACAGGGAGTTCTTTTGCTGTTTCCTTTTCCCCTTTTTCGTTCACTTTGTTTGCATTGCTTACAGGAAGATGTTTCGCTGGTGGTCTAACGTCAGCACTACCTGATTTGTACACAGGACCTTTCACAGGTTCTTGCTCCTTTGCCACTAGACTACCTGGAACTTTGTTATGTCCAAGGCCGACAGGCTTCCCTGAAGAGGCCTGTTTGGGTGCCTTTTTCCTATCTCTGCTTTTGCTCGTCTTCTCAGACAGTTTCAAGATCATGTCGGCTAACTTTGTTGGATCGTCGCTGACAGAGGCATTCACGATGGCAGAGGCGATGCTGCTAATGTTCGGGCCTGCACAGCTGGCATCCATGGTCTTATCACTGATACTTACATCGTCTGCTCTTAGGTCTTTACTTTGACCTGCAACGCTGTCGTGCATTAAACTGTCTGGGTCAGGTTTTGGGCGAAGTTTCTCATCTTTAGTAGCCTTGTCGTAAGCAGGTTTGGCACTTTGTATCTTTTGTTCACTGTTGCTGACTCCTTTCTTAGCCTGCTGGGTCCTTCTTTGCTCTGCAGCTGGCCCCACATAGTCTGCTTTCTGTCCTTTCTTGTCTGCGGCAACTTTAGTTTTGGGTAGATGTGGTGTGGTCTTGTCCGCAGCGCGACAACCCCTCAGCGCATCTGCTGACGCGTCCTGCGACTGTCCGATCGCTTCCTGGGTCGTTTCTATGACGATAGTGTCGTCGTTGACCAGTTGTATACGTGGCTGCGCCCGAGCGCGCTCCGGGTAGGGAGTCTCGTCTTCAGGGTGGTAGCCAGGCGTGAGGGTTTCGTCATGGAGGTACAGGGAGTCATCTATACATGGGAAAGAAACACAGAATTATGTAGTTTTCTGCAGTAAATACATAGGAAAGAAGCACAGAATTTTCTATAGTATGTACATGGGTAAGAAACACAGAATTATGTAGTTTTTTTCATTTGTACAAGAAAATATTACAAGGCCGGTTGTAAAAGTTGCCTTTGTCCCATGGGTATCGTATTGTTACAATCTCAATAAATCAAATTACTTTCTTCTGGAGCATAGTCCCCCACGCCGGAAAACCGAATGGTAGAGTCGAGCTCCTCCCCCATCCCCATCCCAGCATCCCCTGCTCCGACCTCCTGACCTCCATCCTCCAGGAGTTCCACCAGTTTGGGCCCCTGGTCCTGACTGACTTCGCTCAGCCTGATCAGGGCTACGGGCATCCGGTTTGATGGAGGGGTCACTATCGTCCGGCCAAAATGTGGCTGCAGGAGCAAAACAACAAAATGTTTTTACTTGTGATATTATGACATGAACTGTCCTGTATTAGCAAAGTGATACTTAGGTATACTAAATCATTATTAGTGTATGAGTGCACATACTATATAGGAATACACACAAATGTACTTTAGATAAGAAAAAATAGAACTAGAAAGGTAACATTTGCAATGCAAGTGCATAATGTTTATCTTCGCATATGGTCTGCTCCGTTAATTCTTACTCAAACACATTCATATATGTGGAGGTCATACAGGAGTCTAAATCCCTCCTGCTACAAAATTGCAACATGATGTAACCCAACACCAGTTACCATGGTGACAGACGTCTGGTTTAGGTCATTGACACTGAATAAAAACAATAGTTTTCTTCGGTAAACATAACTAAAACAAAGTCATATGAAAGAGCTTACCCTTTCTATGCCTCCATTATCCCCAAGTGACCCGAGGGCCTCAGTTCTCTGTCCGATGAAGGTTCCGATGGAGATTCTCAGGAAGGGTTCCTCTCCAGAGAAGCTGTCCTGGACCACCACGAACTGTGACCCCGTGGGCACCGACCACTCCCCCGGGCCGACAGATCCGGCCGGGGTGGCCATGGCGTCTCCCTAATGCGTGCAATGGGAGAGAATTGTTATCAAATAGAGCATACCAGGGTAATACTGACACAGTGGTCAACTTGCCGAAGCATCTAAACACTGGAACTGTGACCCCGTGGGCACCGACCACTCGCCCAGACCCACTGAACCAGCCGGGGTGGCCATGGCGTCTCCCTGACATGTGTACAATGGGAGAGAATTGTTATCAAATAGAGCATACCAGGGAAACTGACAGACAGTGGTTAACTCGCCAAAGCATCTAAACACTGGAACTGTGACCCCGTGGGCACCGACCACTCCCCCGGGCCGACAGATCCGGGCGGGGTGGCCATGGCATCTCCATAATGTGTACAATAGGAGAGAATTGTTAACAAATAGAGCATACCAGAGCAATACTGGCACTGACTGAGTAAAGCATATAAACACTGATAGAGAAAATATAGAATGAGCCTGACCTGTGTAAAAACGTTGTCCTTTTCGAATTTTGCTTCGTCTTCAGCTAGCATGTCTTTTGCATCTTCTGTGAATAAACATGAGGAATGAAAGTCATTGCTTTATATTATTAACAGTATACTGTTATGTGTCCATGGATGTACAGTATGTACTGTACATTGTATCAACACCTCTAGCCTGCTTAGGTACCGTTAGCCATTTGTCACCAAATGTGTTGGTTACTTGGACTAGGTAGCAGGGACAAGGTACTTGATAGTAAAGAAGTATATGTAACTGTCTTGTCTGTAGACATGTGAAACAATAGAGTGTCTACAGGGATACCAAAGTTTTGCAATGTCATCACGTAACACTAATGGAGATCCTGATAAAACAAACAAACCTGCAGCAACAAAGTCTTGTTCTCCGAACTCCCCTTCCAGCCCCTCCTGTGCCATGTCGTCAAACGGGTTGTCAGGATGGAAGGCCAGGTCTGTCACACCCTGCCCGTTCTCATCTATGTACACAGGGCTGGGCTCTCCAACTTCACCTAGTAAAAAAGGAGGTTTTTGTTTTTACGTCGATGAAGGTTACACATCCAGGTAATACGATACGCCAAAAAGCTCAAGCAACTGGATATGATTTTGGAAACGGTCAGACGTTTCAGCTAGTATCCACTAGCTTTCGTCAGTGACTGAGAGACCAGAGGAGAAATGCAAGTTTATAAGCACGAACTATTGATTGTAACTTGTTGAATCTGTTTTTGTTTTTGTTTGCATCTTTCTTTATTTATGAGAAGCACAACAATAGGATTGCCATGGATTCAAATCCAGAAAGTTCAGATTCAACAAGTTACAACCCTAACCACAAGACCACCTTGCCACCTCATATATGACTATATAACAATAGCTAAGAATATACAGAACTACATGTAGGTATCTATGTCGATAAAGGTTGGACATCCAGGTAATGAGATACACAAGAAAATTGTTACTCAACTGGACAAAGTTCAAAGTCACTGACAAAATGTAGTGGATGCTACTTGAAACATCTGACAGTTTTTAAAGTCTACGTTACTTGAATGTGGCTATCACCTTACAATCATCAAATTATTTGAATTAAAAGCATGCATTTGTACCTGGCAGTTGCTTACACTTGCTGACAATCACATGGTCAAAAGGAGTCCCTTCAGCCTGTTGACTAGTGTTGGTCTGTTCAGTACGGCTGTTGTTGGACCTGAAGAACAAAATGTAATCATTCACACAATGTCACATTACCATTTAACTGCCTGCATTGTTCCAAATATGTTGTCAAAACTGTTAAGGTAAAATCCCCTGAGATACAGCAGGAGTCCCATTGTGGCCATGTACATACCATAGCCCACATTACGAATTGAGTCTTGGAGTCAGTCAAGGGAGGGAGATAAAAAATGCCCTGGACTGAGTGAATTATAGGCACTTTCACATTTTTAAATGTATTTTTTGGAGCACTCTAAGCCCATCGGCCACATCTGCTAAAAACCCTCCATGGGATGCTTGGCCCAGTATGAAATATAAAGAAAGATTGAAACATGTACCTATCTCCAGCAGAACTGCGTGGACTCCCAGGCATGAGCTGTGAGAACTCTCCCTCCCCAAACGACACCTTCTGGCTGAAGGTCACGTCACCCACCAGGGCTCCCTTCCCATCGTGCTCCTCTTCATCCCTCTGCTCAAGGCCGAACGAACCCAGGGACGACCTTACCGCGCCGAAAGGATTGTCAAGTCCCTGGAAAAGAACAAGAAAAACTGTAAAAATACTAAGATTGATTGGGAACAAGGGATTGTCAGGTCCCTGGAAAAGAACAAGGAAAAAATGGTAAAACTAGAAAGGTATAACATTTGCACAGCAAATGCATGTTTACCTGGTCTAGCCCAGCAAACTACTGCTCTGTTTATTCTTACTCAAACTCAAACACATTCCTATACTTAGTCTAGTATTTGGTAAGAAGCCTTTCCAGCTGTCCTTCTACATAATGTAGACCAACACCACAGGGTGTCTGCTACAGCACCAGTTACCATGGTGACAGACGCCTGGTCCAGGTCTGAGGATAGGCTACAACATGTACCTGCAAAGCGCCATTCTCCTGTCTGAAGTCCCCAGCACTTCTCCAGTTCAAGTCCTCTTCATTATCAAAAGGGTTTTCTACATCCTATAATGCACAGAAATAAGTATTGTGAATCTTAAAAATATAACTCCTGCTTCTTTACTTTATGTTTTCAAAATATCCAGTTGCTTGAGTAACAGTTCTTTTTTATCTCATTAATACACTTTACCTGGATATCTAAAATTCATTGAAGTTACTTTTGTTTAAGATTTCTGTTCTTAACCTGAATTTTTCACTTCCAGGAACAGTTTCATCAGGTTGGTAAGTCACTGAGTAAAGAGACTCTTTTTACACAACCAAGTCTAGGTTTATTCAGCCAACATGTCAGTGATCATCGGTTACCTTCCTCAAAGTTTTTTTACTTTTTCCCTACCTGATTCCCTGCCAAGTCTTGTTCCTGCTCTTCCCCATCACCAAAGTCCTTCTCTATCCCGACCAGGGTGTCATCGTTTTCCCCCAGGTCAGCTGACGTTCTGTCTCTCCCAGAGGCGTGGAGCTCAGACAGGTGGAAGGAAGACGCGTCGTGCGTCCAAGGACCTGTGTGACATACAAAACAACTACATGTATTAAACTGGTGGATGTACCAACTACTGAGTATATAATACCTACTCAGAACAGAACAGGAAATAGTTATGCCTTAAAGCACAAGAGTTATCAACCCAAGATTGAGGTGTTCAAAAACTTGTTTTCCCTATTGTAGAGTGGAACTTGCTGCCAGGTACAGAAGCTGGTGTGTTACACTGAAGGACAGTTATACTGGCTATACAGATACAGAAAATGGGTGTGTTATGCCAAATGGCAGTTATACTGGCTATACAGATACAGAATCTGGTTTGTTACACTAAAGGGCGGTTATACCGGCTATACAGATACAGAAGCTGGTGTGTTCTGCCAAATGGTAGTTATAACTGCTATACAGATACAGAAGCTGCTGTGTTCTCCCTATGTTATACTAGCTACACAAATACAGACCTGTGGTGGACTCGCTGACCACCGAGTCCGAGGATGGTCTGGATGTTGGGAGGAAAAACTTGGAGGCCAGCAGGGACGTCTGGTCACCTGTTTCATTATTTAACTGCTGGCCATTCCCCGGTTGATTCTCCTAGATGAAAAAAAAAGTCATTTGATGATCATAGTGTATATGGCAGTGTCCAACGTTTCTATTAGCCCTTGGGCCTTGCAGTTGTACAATTACTACAGTAGGGTCTAGCTCACTGGTAGTAGAGTGTGCTCAATGCAAGGCCAAAAGACAACTTCTGGGCACTGAAATAAGTTGGTGGGAGGTATAGGTGACTGTGCTAGGAGATGGCAGTGAAGAAAGTGCTTTCAAAGGCTTGTGGGTTGATTGTTTGTGTGAGGAAAACACTTATCAGTGAGAGAGTGCCCTAATTTTGCACTCTCTGGAAAGCTGTTGAAAGGTTGGGTTAAGCATCAAATGCCACAGATTTTTTTGGATACCTTGTAGGAATTTTAGCGGGATATCCCGTGGTACGCTAATCCTGTCCTGAAACCCGATCTTTGGTGTGAGATCTTACGTTTTCCGAAGGGCTGGTGGCACAGTTATTTGACCCAATTTGACTAAGATTTTCAAGGACAGATGGTGCGACTTGCATCTTTGTTTCCAATGCATGAAAATAACAGTAGCACAAAGGGATAGTGTTTTTATCATAAATCAAACTTTTCTTTTAATATCGGAAAATCTGGTGTCAAAGTTCACAATGAAGCTAGAAAAGGTTAATCAGTTCAAAAAATTTATGTCCCTTGCAGGGGTCCGCAAAAAAAGGCTAGGGTCGGCAGCTTTTTTCTAGGGTAGGTCGGGAAACAGGAAACACAAACTTTTTTTTCCTAGGCCTTTGGCCACAGTTGTACAATTACTACTAACAGTAGGGTCTAGCTCACTGGTAGTAGAGTGGGCTAAATGCAAGGCCAATAGGCAACTTCTGGGCACTGAACTAAGTTGGTGTAGTTGATTATACTAGGAGATATCAGTAAACAAAGGCTTGTGGGTTGATTGTATTTGTGAGTAAGACACTTTTTACCTGCTCCCAGCCGTCCCTGTTGTCGTGCTGTGACAGACTCTGCGGGGAGAGGGAGGAGGTGCGAGAGATCTGTCGGTACTCGTCCATGCTCGCAAAGTGGACCCCTCGCACATCCGGGGGGTCACCACCTCCGCTGCCCACAGGGCCCATTCTCTCAACCTGGGACAAACAAGCAAGCAAACCATTACATTCTTTAACAGAGATTTTAACAGCGCTATCAAATTCGTTGCAGAGCATTGTACGATTTTTATGTATTTTCAGAACTAACTAACAAGAATAAAACAAGCAGGAAATAGTGTCTCAGAGGGTTATGATTTTTCGGGGAGAATACCAGACCCCTGCTGTGGCCTTGTTTTTGCATCGCAGAAAGTTGCCCTTCTGTACATGACCCCTACGCTGAGAAAAAATCCTGGTGAGAACCCTTATTTAAAATGCATACAGAGATCAAATAAAACAACTAAATAAACAGCCACATGTGACTTGCCTCTTCATGACCAGGTATAGACTCCCTGACAGGATCAGACGCGTCGGTGTCGTCCCTGGTGCTACCCTGGCTGGGCCTCCTAGCCTGGGGCGCAGGCATCACGCCGAGGCCTCGCAGGACGTCTAACGTCAGCTGGCCTCCTGCTATCTGCACCGGTCTGTTATCATCACTGCTGTTCCCGCTGCTGCCATCACCCCCTCCTCCACCATCGCCTACATGGAGGAAGATAATCTATCATATGTGATAGACTCATACTTGGCTTGTGACAACGTTTGATGCAGGTGATAGTCTAGCTGTATCACATGGGGTTCTAATGGTTATCACGTAGGGCTTCCAAGAGTTCCATTAAAAAATTCGAACACGTTTCGGGCGCTCAATGCACTTGTGAAGACTCGAATACTGGATTCAGACTTCGGAACTTATGTTGTTACAATTTTTTGTTTTTGTTTTGACACCAAATTTTCTCAATTTTTGGCACGTTCCTGCTGTAGTGATGGCACAACTGTGTTCAGCCCAAACAGGGAACAAAACTTTTTTTCCTAGGCCTTTATGGTGCAGGAAGGAACTTTGACTTTAACTTTACCAGGCACAGGCGAGGTGACCACGTCTCCCTCTGCCGACTGCCTCATGCTGTCCAGCGGTGACACGCCCTCCGAGTTCTGTCCCAGCAGCTCCGGTCGGGACGAGGGTTTCCCGTTCCCGCTACTCTCTCCACTCGCCCCCACACCCACCCTGTCCAGCCCTTTGGTCAGGTACTCCCCTCTGGATGCCATCTCCTGAGGAAACAGGGAGATTCCATTATGAAACTGATTTTAACCAACTCTGGGCAGAGCAATACCACCCGTTACAACCTGTTACCACTGACCATGGCGATACCTGAGGAAATGTTGTAGGGTGAAGCTGGACTGTACCCTTCTTTGTAAGCATTCCAGGAGTGGTCAGCATTTTTTTTTGGGGGGGGGGGCGGACCCTGGTTGCAGGTAGGGCATACTAGGGAAGGCAGCCAGAAAGAGTTCTAAGCATGTGTGATCTATATGTGAAATTAGAAAACTCCCCACCCCCAAAAGAAACGCCAACCACTCCCAAAACACCTGCAAAGGATTGGACTGAACAACTGTGACTTGTCAGCCACCATGCTGGACAGAAATACCTCTCAAGAGGATGAACTGAACTGAGCTCTTATTATTTATTAACACTATATACCCTTCTGACTGCCTCCAGCTCATCTTCTGTGTCTATCTCGCTCTCCTCCGCGGAGTCTCTCCCCGTGGCCGGCCCCCGGGTTCCCTGAGGGATGACGTCGTTGGTCTGGTAGTCATCAGCCGACAGGTGGTCATCTCTGGACGATGGGGGAACCGGACCTGCACCAACACCTGAAAATATTTTTTTTTAATGTTTACCGATGGAAAACATGATATTGTTTTTGCTCTGTTTCTTCCTCCTCTTCTTCTTCTATTCCAAAGAAATAAGGTCAATGACCTGAACCAGACATCTGTCACCATGGTAACTAGTGTTGGGTTACATCATGTTGCAATTTTGGTTTGGTTTATTTCAAACACAAACACAAATCACAATACAGCTCCATCACTAGGCAGCCAGAAGGCTGAATTGCGTGAATAAGAGCTTTACACAGTGAAATAAAATCCTGATCATCATTCCGTGTTGTAAAAACAGTCATTAAATCATATTAAAATCATACATTTACACAGACTATTCATGATTTAAAATGTGAACAAGGTACGGTAATGTACTTCTGTTGTACCGCTCTGTGCGCGCTGGCAATTGGTCAAGTTTTGTATGTTGTCTAGTCATCCTCCCACTGACACTACCCCTGGTTTGTGGCAGCCAGTGCCGGTAGAGGGTAGAAGCTTGTATATTGTTCGCAAACCGTCTGCACAGGGCTATTCTGCGATCTTCTAAAGTCTGTAGCTGTAGCGTCTCCAGTGCTGACTTGTAGTTCGTGAACTCCTTAGCAAGGATGATTCTGGTGGCTCTTCTTTGTATGTTTTCAATCTTCCTTCTCTGTGCTTTGGTCAAACCAGGGTGCCATAGAGGCGCGGCATATTCCAACACAGGACGGACGAAACAAGTATATGTAGTAAGAAGATCTTCAACGGGCGGGTTGAATTGGCGCAAACGACAGAGCAAGTATAGCCTCTGGTTCCCCTTCTTGGTTGTTTCCTTGACGTGAGCGTCCCACTTCAAGTCAGCTTGAAATGTCACCCCAAGACACTTAGCTACACTGACAACAGCTAGCTGGTGACCATCGATGTTTAATGCAGGTGGCGGGGGAGGATTACGGGAGAAGCAGACCTGCATAGTTTTACACTTGCCCGGGTTTAGTCTCATGTTCTTGTCGTTTGTCCAGCCGGATAGACGATCGAGGTCGTTCTGAATTCTAGATGGTTCAGATACAAGCCGGGACTCCACTAAGTTCAGATCGTCGACGAAGGCCCACGACGGGGAACATATAATGTCCGGTAGTTTGTTTACGTGGATGATAAACACGATCGGACCGAGCTTGGTGCCCTGTGCCAAACCACAGGTAAGTTGTTTGGTTTGGGACAACACCCCTCTGTACCGTGTCCTCTGGCTTCTTCCTTCATGGAAACTACAAATCCAGGGGATGAGTTCAGGGCGACTCCATGCTCCAGTATGTGCTTCATTGCGACGGTGTGATCGACCAAGTCAAAAGCCTTGCTGAAGTCAGTTAATACCCACGTGCTGCAGGTCCCCCGTTTGTCAGCAGACTTGTACAGCTGGTCTGCAAGGTTTGCCAGACAGTGAGTGGTCGACCGAACCCTTGAGACCATCCGAACTGGTTAGCGATATTGTGTCCTTTACGTCCTGAAGGACCCAGGAAGCAATAAACCCCTCACAGACTTTAGCGAGTAGAGAAGTTAAGGAGACCGGTCGGAGCTGGTCGACGCTCGGTGGTCGAGTCTTCGGCAAAGGAACTACGACCGCCTCTTTCCACTGCTGTGGTACCAAACCTTCACGCAGGGAGCTGTTGAAGATGTCGCTTAAAGGTGTAGCTATTTCGCAGGCAAACTCGCGTACCAACTTGCCGCTGATACCGTCTGGGCCCGGAGATTTCCTACGTTTTAACCTTCTTCAATTCCTCATACATTTCCCAAGGCTGCACTGTGGGGGGAGGTCGTGAAGGAAGGAATGCAGGTAACTTGGACAAGTCCAGAGGGGGCAGCGAGGTGGTAATGTCCGAAAACTTCCTGTTGATGATGTTTGCGATCTCATCGTTGTTTTCCGGGTTTACGCCTTCAATCGGAACCGACATGTCCTTACGTTGAGTGCCGGTAAGAACCTTGAGTTCGTTAAACCAAGCGCTTGGGTTTTCCGTTTTTAACTTCTTGATTCTCGTGTTGTAAAACAATTTTCTTGCTTTCTTGATCATGTACTGGACTTTGTTACGGAGCATGCGCCATTTTACCCAGTTCTTTGCGCTGAAAGCCCGTTGGCGCGCCTTGATCGCAGACTTAATCTTTTGCGACATCCACGGTTTGTCCTGGGCTTGTGTTCTGATGACTTTGTAAGGGAAGTGTCTGTCAATTGCTTGATTCAAAGTTTCGTAGAAGGCTGTGGTCTTATTCTGAGTTCCCTGAACGTCCAGCACTTCTTCCCACCGGTGTGTCGTGATCCACTGCCCAAAGGATCGGATGTTAGAATCCATCATAGGCCGTACCTTACGCTTCGTAGTCTTGTTCACGACCCTCTGGTGTTTGGGCCTCAGTAGAATCACATTATGGCCAATGGAGAGGTCACGGTGGGAGGGTGGTAGAATTCAGTAAGGTTTGTCAATATGAGGTCAAGAGTAGCCTCGGATCTGGTTGGAACATTTACAATTTGTTGGAGACCATTGCCAGAGCACACATCAGATATGTCAATACGGTTAAAATCACCCATAATCAAATAACCTGCATTATCGTATCGGGTTCTCAGTTTATCTATAGTGTCAAACAAGTGTAGTCTTAAGGTTTCGTCACAATCAGAATGCGGCGGTGCATATACTATACATACAATCATAGACGAGACCTTCCTAGGTAGGCGCTTAGGGCGCAGCATGAGCCACATACATGTTCTAATGATATGGTCCGCCATCTTGGATTTTGGCCAATGACGTCATCAATTAGCATAAATTATGCATATTTAATGATAAAATTTACATAAAATTATATGGGATGTTATCAATATTAGAAACCATGAGTAACTTGACATAAAACCCATAACATTCTATTGTTGAAGCAAAAAATACTAAATTTAGCAAAAAATGCCTGTCAGAAACCCGTTGCCATGGCAACACAAAAATTTATTATCTTATTCTAATGATAGAGAATTGTTGCCAACAATATTCTAGGAAAAGTCACCAAGTTTGGCCGTTCTACGCCTAGCCGTTCAGACGCTAGGTGACATCAAAGTTGCCGCGGGCACTTTTAGCCCCCCCCGCCCCGTCGTA